AGTCACTCTCTCATGGCGTGCAGAGGAGCTCGTTTCTTATGTGACGAGTAGGATTTGAACGCCATCCGTGCATTAAACGTGGCGGCAGATTCACCTGCCTGTGAGCTGATGGCGAGGAGGAGCAGCGGGGATTTGTGTCAGCCGGTCATGTAATTCTGATGATGCTTGGCGTGCAGTGAAAAGGTTGGATGGGACGTGGGAGTGATGGATGGATGTGTGGAAGCAAATGCTGATGAATGTAATCAGAATTTCATAATAGGGAAAATGAATTAGGAGACAGGAGCTGTGTGGGAGAGATGCGTTTCCTTCCCTTCAGAGCTGGACCGCCGCCTGTTTTCGAGGGGGGGGGGATTAGAGGCTGGCTCTGAACTGTCAGCTTGGACAGAGCCGAGCCAGGCTGTTAGCCCCACGCGGCCTTCCATCCCCGGCTATTCCAGGTTATCCACTCGGCTGTTTGGTGGCGGGCGGGGAGCCGGGGCAATCTGGATCACGGTGGGCGGCGATAACATCCGCTATTGATTCTGGACTTTCTTTCCCGGTGCCGCCGGAACCAAAGGCTCATTGAGATCGGCCTCTGCAGATAATCTGTCTGAGGACGTCCTTAGCGCTCTGTAATGGATCAGCTCTGGGTCACAGCAGCTTTTCAAATCCCTCCAAGTCCTTTTAGATCAGACGGCGAGCAGCTATCTGCCAAATTCATCAGCACACAATAACAAACACACAGCATCCGTCAGAGCTCAGCTCCTTCCAGGGTCTGGGCAGCGTTTCAGGGAGGGCTTGGAGCTCATTTCCACAAGCGCATCACTTCACACAACAGCGTACTGAACAATACTCAGAATCCTGCGCTGGCACATCGGATCGGATGCTTTCTAAAGAGGCGTTTTAAACCTGAAAGAGCGAAAACTCGTTAATAAAACAGCATTACACTCATCCCTTCATGCATTAAGTTTCATTTAAGTCACATCAAACAGGCACAGCTGAAATTCAGACTCACTCAGCAACTGTTCTTTATAATTTATTAATAATAATAAGCACATGCAGCTGTACAGCACATACATGTGTATGATTCCCTCAAAGCACAGGCAGACGCAAGTAGTTTTTCCATCACTGGTTTATTTGAAGACGTCTCTCCAAAGCCACTGTGAAAACTACACAGCATTAACAAAATAAAACTCAGCCTAAGACACTAAAAATAAAACGGTACAACAAAACACGATAAATGAATAAATTCCCCGTTGGCTGCATGCTGCAAGAAGGGATTAGTCACCGTTCCTCAGGGGTTTCCTTATCCGGT